CAGAGAGTGAGAGAGGGAGACACAGAATCTGAAGCAGGCTCCAGGCTCTGAGCTGTCAGCACAGAGCCCGACGCGGGGCTCGAACTCACGGACCAGGAGATCACAACCTGAGCTGAAGTCAGACGCTCAACCGACTGAGGCACCCAGGTGCCCCAACACCCACCCGTTTCTGACTCATGTCTTGGTCTCTTGTTTTATTGTACCTTATATGATTCATGTACCCATATGATTCAAGTCTCTGCGATGCAGCTTCTTCATATTCTGATTAGGTAATCCTGGCACTTAGTAGAAGAGGGTTATCTTTAGTCGAGGGAGAGGGAATAAGGTGATTCTTCATTTGGGCTTCAAGTCCAAAACCTTTTCTAATTTATCATTTGTGAAACTGATCCTCATTTTTCTTCTCGTAATTATTGTTAGTTGTGTAGCACCTGGAAGGGAAGAGTAATGCATGATTGACAGCAATCTCCAATAATTTACAGTTGACTAGTCACCCACTTAGTGCAAAGGGTGGAAAAGATTGAAGCAGAAAGATGATAGCTCAGTAGCTAGCAAGTTCAACATTTTTTTTGCTGTTCTTTCTGGGACCTCATTTCCTTTTCTATGCATTGAATAGGTAAGTCATTCCTAAGTCTCACTATTCTTCTGCTTGCCCTCATTTAATCCTTACATTTTATATGATTACATCTATAATAATAAATTACGTAAGAGCAGAGAAAATATCAGCCATTTTAAAATGTCAATTTTTGGCACTTATAAATAGAGTTGCTATAAAAAATCATGTGCAAGTTATTTACATGTTTATTTATTTATTTTGGATTTTGAAAATTTTATTTAAACCAAGGTAGTTAACATATAGCATAATGATGGCTTTAGGAGTAGAATTTAGTGATTCATCACTTACATATAACACTCAGTGCTCATCCCAACAAGTGCCCTCCTTAATGCCCACCACCCATCCTCCCACCCAGAACCCTCCAGCAACCCTCAGTTTATTCTCTGTGTTTAAGAGTCTCTTATGGTTTTTCTCCCTTTCTGTTTTTATCTTCTTTTTCCTTCCCTTCCCGTATGTTCAGCTGTTTTGTATCTTAAATTCCACATGTGAGTGAAATCATATGGTCTTTGTCTCTCTCTGACTGACTTAGTTCACTTAGCATAATAGCGTCTAGTTCCATCCACGTTGTTGCAAATGGCAAGATCTCATTCTTTTTGATCATCGAGTAATATTCCATTGTATATCTATACAACCTATTCTTTTTTTTTTTTCCAACGTTTATTTATTTTTGGGACAGAGAGAGACAGAGCATGAACGGGGGAGGGGCAGAGAGAGAGGGAGACACAGAATCGGAAACAGGCTCCAGGCTCTGAGCCATCAGCCCAGAGCCCGACGCGGGGCTCGAACTCAGGGACCGCGAGATCGTGACCTGGCTGAAGTCGGACGCTTAACCGACTGCGCCACCCAGGCGCCCCTATACAACCTATTCTTTATTCATTCATCAGTCGACAGACATTTGGGCTCTTTCCATAACTTGACTATTGTGGATAGCAGTGCTATAAACACTGGGCTGTATGTGCCCTTCTGAATCAGCATTTTTGTATCCTTTGGATAAATACCGAGTGGTGCAATTGCTGGGTTGTAGGCTAGGTTTTTATGTGGACATAACTTTTTAACTCCTTTGGGTATATATACCTAAGACATGATTGTTGGATCATATAGAAAGACTGTGCTTAGCTTTGTAAAACAAAGATACATCTATGCTATTAGCTCTTCAAGGACTGTTTCATAGAAAGTGAAATATATTTTTAGGACAATAAAGTAATCCTATGATTATTAGGTGTGCTTTATCCTTAAAAAAAAGCTTTTCTTTTGGCCAGAGAGGTAATTTTAATTCTAGCTTCTGAGTTTGTATTGTTTATTAGTTGATGAAATTCAATTGTTCTTTGAAATTAAAGATGTTGTGATTGTCCCAACCTAGTTCTGTTGCAATTATAAGGCCTTACCCAAGATTTCTGTTAATTTCCAGGGGACTTCCAGCTTTAGAATTAGTTCTGTTTCTGACTTTTTCTTACTTCCAAACTATACATTTTACTTGAATCTATAGTCCTTGGCTATCACTTTCCCTTTACTGTTTTGTGAACACAGAGTCCAACCTTATTTTATTAGATTCTTTACACACACCCACTCACACTCACACGCACACGCACACGTGCACATACAGAGGCATACACACACTGACACACACACGCACACACATGCACACACAGAGGCATACACGCAAACATAATAAAACAAGCTTTATACAAACCACTTGTGGGAAGAGCATATCTCATTAAAGGTTTGAGAACAAACTGGTTTTCTATCATGGAGGTGCTCATTGTTCATCCCCCCTTCTTTTCAAGACTCTTTCATTAGAACCAACCTTCTCCTTCTTCTTACCCCTCACCGTAGGTTTCCTCAAAGATACTCAAATCACCTTCTTGTCCAGAACAATTTAGTTCTTTAAATGATGCTTGGCAAGACTCCAGGCATAATTTTGTGTATCCAAAGACTCAATGCCTTTGCTAGAACAATGGGCTATTTATGCCCCCTCTTCCCGTTCAGTAGCATGGACAAGCTGGCAGAGGCTTTGACATTTCATTTTATTCTATTCTCTCATCCCTGTCAGTCTTTGAATAAAAGGCAGTAGTGCAGAGATTTATTTTTCCTTTAATATGAAATATGTTATCCCTTTAGAGGGATCAGGTGGTGATAATCAGTTTGGTTCTTAAACAATACTTTCTTATATAAATCAAATATCTGAAGGTTTTTCCAAATTGCTTTACATAATTACAGCCAAACTTTTTCATAGATGTTTACAAATTTTACCATAGGTGAATTTTATTCCAAAGTAGTTTTCATTAAACATTTTACTTTCTGAATTATACATTTTACTTTCTGAACCCACTACACATACATACACACACGCATTCAGTGCAGAGGGCTTTCAAACTATTTTAGAAAGGAAGAATATTCAGGTGATGTGTCATTAAAATTATGCGCTAGTATCATCAGTTTTCAACAGCGTGCTTACTAATAACTAAGAAAAATATGCTCGCACACACACATGGGTTTCTGTGGTGGAGATTTCACAGGGAGGGAATGTCCTGCCAAAGAGGAAGGAACTTGTTGAACATTATATGAGTGTGGAAGTTGTGAAGAGCAAAAAATGATTTCATATGTGGAAGAGGGAATGTGTTGGGGTTCTTTGCTGGCTCTAATTGACCTGTGTCCTTCAGCTCTACCCGCTTCCTCCCGTCATCACATACTGTGATTTATCTTCCTTGCTACACTTCCTTTCAAGTGTGTTCTGTGTTCTCCTACCATCGGATCTTTGCACATGCTGATCTTTCTACCTGGACCACTCAATTACTACTCAAGTTCCCCTCCTCCAACACTTCACCCTGTGTTTCCAATGACTAACTTTTATGTTTTTTACAGTCTCAGTTTATCTCTTACTCAGAGATCTATTTCCTGCTTTCTATCTAAATTATGTACCCTATCTTACAGAGTTTCAGAAGGCCTTATTTGTCTTCTTCATACCTCTTATTATAATTTTAAATTATTACTTAATTGACTTGTTTAATACTGTCTTTGTCACTAGATGCTATGGTCTATGAAGAATGAACACAGATGAAAAGAATATGGGGGGGAGGATAGGCTACAAATGATAGTATGTATCTGCTGTGCTTAAGAAATACATTGTATATTGTTGAATAAGACTTGTGTTATTTTTAAGTACATTATATTTGTCCAAAGGGTTAGATTTGAATGGTTAAGCTACACATGAAGAGAGGCCTGCTAATCTTGCCATTTACAACTATGTGGGTAGAACTGGAGGGTATTATGCTAAGCAAAATTAGTCAGAGAAAGGCAAGTATCATATTACTTCACTCATATGAGGACTTTAAGATAGAAAACAGATAAACATAAGGGAAGGGAAACAAAAATAATATAAAAACAGGGAGGGGATACAACATAAGAGACTCTTAAATACAGAGAGCAAACTGAGGGTTGCTGGTGAGGTGTTGGGTGGGGAGATGGGCTAAATGGGCTATGGGCATTAAGGAGGGCACTTGTAGGGATGAGCACTGGGTGTTGTATGTAAGTGATGAATCACTAAATTCTATTCCTAAAATCATTATTACACTATATGTTAAATAAATTGGATAAATTAAGAAAAAGTATTTAAAAAAAAAAAGAGAAGTCCAGATTGTAAAATCTGGGTTTTAATTTATTCAATTCATTAAGTATATGTTTGTCTGCATTTATAGATATTCACACATTCATTGCAGTTTTTTTTTAATTTTTTTAATGTTTTTATTTATTTTTGAGACAGAGAGAGACAGAGCATGAGCAGGGGAGGGGCAGAGAGAGAGGTAGACACAGAATCTGAAGCAGGCTCTAGGCTCTGAGCTGTCAGTACAGAGCCCGAAGTGGGACTTGAACTCACAGACGGTGAGACCATGACCTGAGCCAAAGTCGGACACTTAACCGACCGAGCCACCCAGGCACCCCTGAAGTTTTTATTTAACAGTTACAATTGTTCACTTCATTTCATCAGTGAAATATATATATATATTTTACTTTCCATATTCATTTGCAAATGCTAACAGTGTAGTTACATAGAACTAAAAAGATGTATTCCATAAAAATCTTTCACATTTGATTTGTCTTTATAATATAAAAAAAAAAAAAATCCAGGGCGCACGCGCGCGCGCGCACACACACACACACACACACACACACACACACACAAAAGTGATGGCCTGCTAAAGCTGAAATACTTGTCCATTATTTTGGAAAATATCAAATTTGAGCTTATTTCATTCTACTTTTGCAATCTGGTCAGAATGTGCTACACTGGTCCTGTACAGGATGTGTAAATTCTTAAAGACACTCTTGCATTATTAGTTCATGCCCTTCAACAATTGTGTCTAGCAATCTCTACCAGGGGATAGGCCATAACACATTTTTGTAATTCTTCATAATCTGAATCTCGACGCTGTAAGGTTAAGGAATGGTGTAAGGGAAAAAAAATGTCTCCACGTAAAAGAAAGATGTTAGAAGGAGGAGTTAAGATGGGGGGAGAAATAGAGGGACCCTGGGCTTTCCTCGACCCTCAAACACAGCTGTATTGAGTCAGGTTACTTGGAACACCCAGGAAATTGATCTGCAGACTTGCAAAATGATATCCACATTTGCAGGGAGAGAGGGTGGCAGGTGTGAGGTGCATGGAAGTGAACTGGGGAAAAGAAAAATGGAGGTGCCACGGAGGTGCAAGGGACTCTTTCTATGGAGAGACAAAGGGAGAGAAAGAGAGAGGGGTTGAAAGAGTATAGCATCAGGTTCACTCAAGAGAAATACCTCTCTGGACCATGGACTGGGGAGCCA